TAAAGAGGAGAGAGCGAATAATTCACTAAGCCAAGATTGTCCTAAATTGAAAATTCACACCAATAGTATTAATGTATGTTTCTTTATATAATTTTAAACCTCCTGCCTATATATTGAAACACTGTTTATTAATGTTATATCCATTTTGATTGCTTTGTCTTATTTGAACTTAAAAGTAAATTTTTGGCCTGTTGCACTTGCTAAATAGAATAGTATCATCTTCTTACCCTGGATAATCACCGTCGATCGCCTGAAAAGATTCATAAGTCACCGAAAAAGAGTCGTCGGTCGCTGGGAAAGAGTCCTTGCTCGTCGGAATATCAGGAGGGCTGAAAAAGTCTGATTATACGATTCATCTATTTGAGAGATTTGACTTTTAAGGTTCCACCGAGGCAGCTCAAACTCAGGATTTTTTTTTTTGTTAAAGCTCAAACTCAGGATTTGGAATTCTAGAGATCTAAATCTGATAAACCACATAGCAGATTAGACCAACAACCAAGAAGATAATAAAATAGTATATGGAACTCATCTTCTCGAGAGATTTGGGAGAACAAGAGAATTAGGGAAGAATCTAGGATTTTTAAGCTATTTTGATTTAATAATTAATTAATATAGTATTTATTTAATTGTTTAAATTTTTTCATAAAACTTAATTGACAGAGAATTTTAGTAATAAATTTTGTTGTGTTAGAGAATTAAAAATAAAACATTTTGATAATATATATTTAGCGAAAAGAACCGATTACTAATGAATCTAACAATCCAACTTTAACGAGAGAGCATTAGTTACTTACCTAGAGCCTCAAAATCATTTCTAACACTCCAACTTTAACAAGATATATTTTTTTGTTTTCAATTATTTTTTCTTATAATAAATGTGAGAAGATGTCTCTTCACACCATGACCAATAGTAAACCATATATATATTTACATTTTTAAGTAAATTTTAAAAATAACTTTTTGTCTGTACCCAAGAAATTACTTACAAAAAGGGCGGGAATTAGAGACACACTTATATCCAAGCCTTAGTTTTCTCTTCACTTTTTTTTGGTGCAACCCAATTTTCTCTTCACTTTTATACTCTTCACAACCCACTTTTTTGCAACCCAGGACGTAGTTCTTCCTCCCAAAAATTAGTCACTAATGTCCTGTAAAAAATGAATACAATCTTGTTTGCACTCTTTTGTGGTTTTAGTTGTTTTCTTGTGTAGAGTCATATGAAACAACGAGGCCAATTCCAGCGAGGATTTGCTACCAAAGAGATCGTTGGCGACCTTGACTTCACTACCTCTGGCGGTGACCTCTTCTCCTACCTCTTCTCTGGGACCCCGTCTCCACAAGTACACAATAGATCTCTATTAGGCCTGAATTTTAACATTACGCTTCTCATAATCTGGTAGCTCAGGTTTCATCGCTAGCAAAAGAAACAATGATGGAATAAATACTTGATTTAGCAAATATTAGCATTGGATGCCTAATTACCACTCATTAACTGAGGTAAATATAACACCCGTCCCGCCATATAGGCCAAAACGGCATGTTATTCATCTGATCTTACCAAAATGTTTTCTTTAAAATTTACATACGAACAAAACATTGCACATAACTCCTCACGCTTACTAACCTGAGGAAAAAAGGGAAAAAAAGGGTGAGTAAAGAATACTTAGTGAGGGGAATCTACTCTGCCCACTGAAACATAGAACACTTTCTAAAGCTATACAATGATCATCATAATATATAAACTTAGACACACGCAATAATTCTAACATGTTTTAACTTCTAACAACACATTCATAAAAATCATCTTATATATATTAATATAAACATACACATCGTTAGGTCCAGTCATCCTCGTGATGACTAGAACCTCATGAGTGGAGGCTGGCCCTCGTGGCTGAGACACTCCCATCCCGGGCTCGTCAGCTTTTCTTGACCAGGTGTTAAACTGTCGGTCCATCACTGTCCACATCACTAGGGAGACCACGGCCCATAGCTCGATTCTCCCACTCATACATTCATCATACATACATACTCATAATCATACTTAACATACACATACTTATAATATCATACATAACATCACATTATCAAACATCATACTGAACAATCATAAAGTCATATCATCATGTAATCTTATCCTATACAATCAGATCTAAGCCTACATATCATACGTCAAGAAGCATAACAAAAGAAAATGATACCATGCTTCGCAAATACCACCCTCACCTTAGCCTAGTTGAAGATGAAGACTCCTTTCCTTTCACTTAGGCGATCTTTATTGCAACCACATGCTCATAAGCTCTAACTTAGTTCTCCTTCAACCAAGACCTGAATCCAGGAGTCATGAAAGCTACTACAAAGCTTCAGCTCAAGCCAAGTTTATTTGCACCATCAAACAATAAAACTTTGATACGATTTACTCTATATAAATCTGTCTCGGAAACATATGCATAAGTCAAAGACTAACCGTTATAAACGTAATCCCACCGTTAGATAGGTAGCCAGTAGTATCATGAATAAGTCCACGAAGTTTCATCCCGATCGGACTTCACATAAATCTCCCACGTTCTTCTAAAGATGCTGCATCAGAACTGATATCTAGGTTTCTACAACTTGAGATGATTTTGGGCAAACTTTCAAGGTCAAATACGGATGGATCTTAAATCCGATGGACAAGCTGTCAGCTACTCTGAGTTCCTTGAAGCAAGAGCTTTGCATAGACATCTTGATTGTGATCTAATTATTTCTACTTCATCGGGAAAACGTGATAACACTGTATTTTACTCATTTTAGGCATGTATTTATCATCATTTAACTTAGTGATCACTCATTGTATCATATGATTTTGCATCACATTTAGCTCATTTTGCATACTTAGGCAATTAGGATCATCTTGCATTCATATTGAATTTTTTGGTGTGTTTTTAGGTGTAGAAGGAGCTTACAAGGAAATCTACTCGACCCTCTACTATCAAACAAGGAGGGAAGCAGCAGAGCCATCTACTCGACCAGTTTACTCGATCAAGGCAGCCACAGAGGAGGCAGCAGATTCTACTCGACCCCCTACTCGATCCTATACTCGACCAGTTTACTGGATCAAAGGCAACCTACTCTACAAGACTTGTTGATCATTCAAAGCGTCTTCTGATCCTCCTCATTCCCCACTCAACCAGACTACTCGACCAATTTATCACTTGGAGCATGGAGGCAAAGGCGCAGACTTTACAACACCCTCTTTACTCTATCTCGAAGATTGAGCATTCATCCAAACCGCCTCGAGTCTCTTGTCTTCTAGTGAATCTAGGGTTTTCAACATTTTAGTATAAACAGGTCACTTTGGGATTTGTCCAAAGGACCAAGCTTTTATCTCTTAGTTTTTCTTTGTGTTCTTGAATCTTAAAACCTTAATTACTCTTAATCTATTTTGTTTTTGCATTTAGTTCTTTGAGCAAAGTTGTTTATCTTGTTTAGATCTACATTTTGATATGATTTCAGTAATTTCTGGGTTGGTGTTCTTCATTATGTTGCATGAGTAGTGATTAGGGTTCTTGAGGATGTATTAGATTAGAGAAATCTCTAGGTTAGTCAGGTGGTTAAGATTAGGCTAGATCCCTTCTGGATTCGTTGGCCTCTATGCGGTTTTCGCTGGCTAATGTGGGAATTCGACCATAGGTATCCAGCGTCCTAAAGACGTTCAAATGGATGTCTGATCTACGAATTTCAGAGATTTGTAGACTATTGCCCAAGAGATTAGATGTTTAGACTGCTTATTGACTTTGGTAGATTGTTGCTTAAACCCTGCTCTGCTATGTTTCATCAACGAGAGTTGAGATTCGAAAGTGGTAGAGTTATGGGGGTCTCTGTCACGAAAGTGGATTGACCCGGTTTTTGAATCTATCGTCTACGGTACCTGCCTTTCGCCTTTTAGCCACCTGATGAACCTTAGAGTTGCCCTTATCAATGAATCCATCCTTAGGACTTCTATTCTTCTTAGATTTATTTGTATTCATACCCTGATTGCACTTTTATTTACCTGTTATTTTATTCACCTGTTGATTGCATTTTAGTTCTTAAATTTGTCACATGTTGGTTCTACTCGACCCAATGATCTTGACCTAGGATTGTTACTAGAAACCAACCATCATTATAATCTGGCTTGACTTAGTTGCTTCTGTACACATCTTGATTGCTAGCAATAACAGTGGACTGGATTGACACCCCCTATAACTGCATCGACATGTTAATGTTTAAGGGAAATTGAACTGAACACACCACACTTCAACACATAAGTAGGCCTAAAAACCTACTTATCAATTTGGCGTCGTTGCCAATTCATTGTTGCATTGTTACATTCAAGATATCAGAAAAAATTAAGATCAAATTCTTTTACATTTATCAAGTTACTAACTCATCTTTTCGTCTGCTTGTTTTTGTGGTACATGTACTAATCTTTGTGCATGCAAACTCGATCCAAAGGTTTTGCACACCTACTACCTTTCAAAGACAGAATTGACAGAATAGCTCGTGAGTTACAAGAAACCAAAGCAAAGGTAGCCTGTGATCAGCAAAGACCAGCTGCTATGGATCAACAGAACATACCAGTTGATGTTCAAGACCCACCTATAGTTGATCAACCAAGAAACATTGGTGCTGGTGATGCCCCAAGGAATCATCACCAAAAACAAGGGATAGTGCTACCACCAGTTCAGAACAACAACTTTGAGATCAAGAGTGGTCTCATCTTCATGATCCAAGGAAACACATTTCATGGTTTGCCTATGGAGGATCCCTTGGACCATCTTGACAGCTTTGATAGGCTTTGTGGCCTTACCAAGATCAATGGTGTCACTGAAGATATGTTAAAGCTCAGACTATTTCCCTTCTCTTTGGGAGACAAGGCACGCTACTGGGAGAAGACTCTGCCCCTAAACTCCATAAATTTATGGGATGATTGTAAGAAAACTTTTCTTGCCAAGTTCTTCTCTATTGCTCGAACAGCTAGATTGAGGAATGAGATCTCCAGGTTCACACAAAAAACAATAGAACTTTCTGTGAAGCCTGGGAGAGGTTCAAAAGCTACACCACTCAGTGCCCTAATCACGGTTTAAGAAAGCTTCATTATTGAGCACACTCTACAGAGGAGCTTTACCAAAGATCAGAATGCTGCTCGACACTGCCTCAAATGGAAACTTCCTGAACAAAGATGTAGTAGAAGGATGGGAGTTAGCCGAAAATCTAGCACAATCTGATGGGTGCTACAATGAAGACTATGATCGCTTCGTGTGAGGAACTAGAGGCAGTGAGGATAGACAGAGCAAAGATATCAAGGCCCTGAATGAAAAGCTAGAAAATTTTCTGCTTGCTCAGCAGAAGCAGATACACTACATCACTGATGAAGAGCACTTCCAAATGCAAGAAGGGGGGAATGATCAAACTGAAGAGCTCTACTATATTCAGAACAAGGGAGGGTTCAACAAGGGCTACAACAACTACAAACCCAACCCGAACCTCTCCTACAGAAGCACTAATGTAGCTAACCCCCAAGATCAAGTGTATCCACCACAACAGAATCAGTTTAAACCATTTGTTCAATATAACCAAGGTTCTGTCCCTAAGCAGCAGTTCAATGGAGGATACCAACAGCAGAATCCACTAACAGGATTCACTCAACAACCACAACAAGCCCCAGCAGTACAAGATCCTGAAGTTAAGCAACCTATTCAACAAATCATTCAAAGACAAGCTATTGGAGCTATGACATTTGACAAGAAATAGCTGAATTACACAACAAGATAGATTGTTCTTACAACGATCTAAATGTCAAGTTTGAAGCTCTGAATTCCAAAGTCAAGTATGTGGAGAGTCAATTGGCATCAACCTCTGCTCTGAAGCATCCTCAACAACTTCTAAGGAAAGCAGTTTAGAAACCTAAGGACTATGCTACTATTAATGCTAACACCATCCAGCAAGAAGATGAGTCTCGACCAAATCATCAGCCCCACAATACTAAGGACATCATGGTTCAAGAAGGGGGGGGGATTTAACTCAAATTGTTGCACCTGCCATCCAGCAATTCATCTGGACTATAGAGCACACACCTTTGCTGAATACTCACCATTCTGAAAAAAATTCAAAATTGAAAAACTCAAGAAGGATCAGAATCAAGAGATGATTAGTACTGCCATCACCCAAGAAACTTACAAGAAGAAAGTTATCCAAGAAAAGCTTGATGATCCTGGTTCATTCCCTCTGCCATGCTCCCTAGGACCATTGACATTCAATAGGTGCTTGTGTGATTTGGGAGCATTTGTTAGCCTTATGCCTCTCTCTACAGCTAAAAGGCTAAGGATCATGGAATACAAGTTCTGCAACCTAGTTTTACTCTTAGGTGATGGTTCTGTTGCACACCTCCATGGTCTAATAGAAAATCTGTCTGTCAAGATTGGAAATGTTGAGATACCTACAGATTTTGTGGTATTGGACATAGATGAAAAATGAAAGGATCCTCTGATCCTAGATAGACCATTCTTTGCTTCAGTTGGAGCAGTCATAGATGTCAGGAATGTAAAGATTAATCTGAACCTTGAAAAATGCATCAAGATGAAATTTGACATCAGCGATGCTTCAGGAAAACCAACAGGAGAAGGGCAGAATTGCGAAGTCCATGACATGAATGTTGATGAAGAAACAGAAGCTGGAATCCCACCAAGATTCAACTATACTTCTCAACTCAGCAAGCTGAAGAGAACTTTTGACCACAAGAAGAAAACCTTAAAAGGGTTAGCTTAGACTGAAGATCCTACAGAAGATGATTGGTATGAGATGAGAAAAATAAATAAATGTCAAAGTAGAGTCATAGAGGGGTTATCTTCAAGAGTGATGAAGCTGAAAGATCAACTTTGGGATTTTGAAAAAAGAGTTAATAAGTATTCAATGAGTATTTATCCAGAGAAGATGGAAATTGCACTAGCTATCCAAGAGGACAATGATTTTACAACAGAATGGTTTGCACCAGAAGATCAGAAAGGAGTTCATTCAGAGGAAGGAAGCTTAGAGGATGAGTTGTTGAGTGAGGAAGAAACCCCTATTGCGACTTATTCTCCTGAAGTGCCTAAACAGCCCATCAATCCCTCTACTGAAGAAGAACACTTAATTTTTGATTCTGTTGCTGGAGAACTTTTGGAACTCAGGATAGAGTACAAAGCTCAGGAGGATACCATTGGGAAGTTAACTCATAAGATGGAAGAGTTAAACAGCACCATTCTGGACCTTCAAGAAATGATTAAAGGCTACCCTAGTTTTGAAATTGAGAATTGGTCAAAGGAACGTGGTTCACAAGAAGAAGACTACTCTGCTGATCAAAAGGAAGCTTATTTTGAAGAAAAATCAAATGAGTACTCATCCTACCATATGTCAAGGGATGATGCAGAGTATGATTCAGGCACTGAAGATTCAACCACTGAAGATGAGGACTTCTCAGTTCCTCCCTTCAACCTTTTTTCTGACTAAGCTTTGTAAGAGTCAAGCTTAGTGACTTAAAACAAGCTCACTTGCAAGGAAGTCTTATGTCTATCCATGTATATAACTTTATATTTTCCTTGTTATTTTTAATGTTTTTGTTTTAAGTGTTTCAGGTTTATTTCATTGACCATGAAGAAGTCAACGGTCGAGTAAACTCAAACCAAGTCAAGTGGTGATCTCCACCGTTGATCGAGTAACATTAGGTGGAGTGTCTTGAGCCGTGCGATTGAATGACGAAATAAGAGAAGCCTCATCACCATTTGATCGAGTAAATTCATGAGGTTTATTCAAGTCCGTTTGATCAAGCATTTTAAAGAATGGAGCAACCTCCACCATCTGATCAAGTATTACGCACTTCAAGGGATACTCGATCAATTACTCGAGCGGGAATGATTCGACGACCAAGGAGTGAGGTCGAGTGACCCATATGTTCCCCTTCACTTCATTACTCGGTGGACAAACCAATTACCCATGCTTCTCACTATTTCCAATTGACTTTCCTATCCATCCAAAAGAGAGAACCAAAGACCATCCTCCTCCACCCATTGAAAACGCCAAACCATCCTTGAAACTCTCTCTTTCATCATCTCATTTTCGCGAATTCTCCATCTTTCACAAAGCTTCAAGAGTTTCATTCCAAACTCTCCCTATTACCCCTCAAGAATCCGTTCTCACATTCACCATACTTCACCAAAGTTACTCGATCATTCCCAATCCCATCCTCAAATTTTCAACCGGTTTTTAAGCTCAAATTCCATCACCAAAAACCGAATCCTTTCCAAATTGATACCTTTTGGAGAGTTTTTTTTTATTGTCTTGTTGAAGCTCACCACCAATCTCCATGGATTCAAGAAGAAAGAGTTCATCTCAGGCTAGAAGATTTTGTTGATAACGAAGAAGTTGAGGCGTTTGACATGAGTGGCATGACTGAACACCAAATTCACCAAGCTCGCCGTGCTCAAAGATCAAGCTTGATTCAAGGGGGAAGTTCAAGTCGCTCAGCCATGCAAAGAGAAGAAGTAGCTAGGGGCAAGAGGGTTGTTAAGGCTGAGGAAGAACACCATGAAGAGGCAGTCTTTGAAGAAGCGGTTTCTGAGGAAGAGGTTGAGATCATCGGGGATGATACACTAGCCCCTGTTGGGAGAAGAAACCGGCCAAGGAGGAAGAGAGAGTCAACCCCAAGCGAGTACTATCAATACTTGAAGGAGTTGAAGTTTGAGGGAACTAGATACCCTCATAAGGAAACGATGCAAGAGCTTGGTATTTGTGGAGATGTGCAATACTTGATGGAATTGGCCAATCTTGCAATGTTCATGAGCTGCCAATGTGGGGGATTTAAAGAGGAGAGCTGCCAACTCTTTGCAACCCTCAAAGTTCACTTTTGTGTTGATGATTTAGAGAAATAAGAAAGAGGAGGTCTTGGTTACATAACTTTCAAGGTTAGGGGTGTCGAGTATACTCTTGATATTAGCCACTTTGATACCATTTTTGGGTTTCCAAGTGGAAAACGAATCCGCCAAGACTATGACCAAGACGAGCTACACTCTCTTTGGACAACAATCACCGGTCCAAAACCCTACTCGCCCGCCAAGAGCAAGACTTCTTCAATTCGAAGTCCCGTAATTAGATACCCCCACCGATGCATCGCCAACACCCTTTTCCAAAGAAGACCGGATTTATTGATGAAGGAGAGCTATGCATGATTGATCAAGCTTTGGTCTTCATTCTGAGAGAGACCAAGGATGGGAGGAAGATGGCGGGTGATAAAGGAGACACTTCGTAGACTGTCGTTCTTTTGGATCACCTATTGAGCTATAGAGAGTATGCTGCAACCATCCATCGCTCGGGGATTCGCGGAAGTCTTTGTGTTGGTGGTCTCTTAACGCCAATCCTAGGAGCTGCAGGGATACAATTCCGAACCGCTGACGTGTTCCTCAAGTTCCTCGACCTCGATTATCTCAAGGGGAAGGATATTCTTGACAAGACAACTCCGGCGGATCACTACCTCTTCAAGTTCAACCATCCGGAGCTTGGACCCTCTTTGTTACCCCTACCTTGCGAGAACCAAACTTCTGTTAAGACAAGGCGTAACATCAACTTCATGTCATCTCCCTCTGCCCTGAACATCGACATCGGAGGAGCTAGAGAAGATGAACCAGAGTATACTCAAGCTGAGTATGAGCAACAAGAGTATTATCCTGTTGAGTTTGAGCAACAAGTCGAATTCGAGCAACATAGCGAACAACCGGAGCAAGAGACCAACAAATTCGAGCAAGCTCACTATGAAGAAGATGCTGATCAAGGAGGAGATGAGATAGCTGAAGTTCACAAGAAGCTCAGTGTGCTTGAAGAGCTTGGGAACCTTCATAACAAAACGATGAAAGGTTTCAAAAAGAAGATAAGAACCATGAAGAAGTCACTGAAGAGTATGGCTGCTCAAATCAAAGACTTCCAGAGCAAGCCAAGGCCACCGTCTCCCACCCCCGAAGTAAGAATAAGCGGGTCCACAAGTTCTACTACAAGAAAGGCTGAAAGGATCGATCAACCCAGAGCTTCATCATTTGAGCCTCGGGAAGTAGTCACCG